CTCCTTCTGAAAAGGAGGCCCCAGTCTGTTAAAAGAGGGGTGGGCCGGTGTGACCACCTCCTGGGACACAAGGAGTCTTCCAAAGAGTGCCTGGATGTTTAAAAAAAAAAAAAAAAAGTATTTTTGTTTGGTGTGTTTAGAAACCTCCTGCAAACCTCAAACTGAGATATTTCATAAATGTCTGTATAGCTGTGATTCCTTTTGTATTCAAATATTACATTGTTCTTGGAATTTTAGGAAAGTGTTCTCAGCTACAATGGCAACACTCCCCCAGGTTGAAGAATCAGGGCACTTGCAAAGCAGGTAAAGTTTTTTTTCTGCTCTTGTTCTTTGTTGTTTTATTTTTTTAATTATCCACAGCCCCACCTTCCAAATAAATCCTACTGAGGAAGAGTAATTTCAGTTTTGGGAGTAAGACATGAATGATCCTAAATGCTCCGTTCGCCTGTGCGATTGCATCTCTCTGCCATAGCAAGGCTACCAGGGAGGGAGGGGGCAGTTCAGTTCTGTAGATTTCAAGTTTGGACTGAGAATGTAGTCAGGCTTCTGGGTCTCACAAGCACAGGCACAGCTTGTCATTATAAACAAGGCACAGGGATGTCTTCAGGGCTTTTTTTTTTTTTTTTAAACAATGTTTCCAACTTCCGTTGTTACTTTTTCTTGCTTGTTAAATGGAATACTTAGAATGAGAATTGTCATTTAAATTAAGAGACTAAGAAAGTAAAACAAGGTACAGATCAAAAGTTTTAAAGGAACAATACAAGTATGTGTACAATTTATTTAATGCAGTTACAGAAACAATCCTCCACTACATGTTAATATATATAAGCATGTGTGTGTGTATATATATATATATATATATATATATATATATATATGCTTAATAGAACCTGAAAATTGGGTTCAGTTGAAATAATAAAAATTGGTGTTAAAGCGGGGACCAAATTAGACACAGTGGTAAAACAATTATTTCTCAATGGTGCCTGTAAAAATCAATTAATTTGCTTAATGTATTAAAAATCTCCAGCAATCAAGGGAGATATTTTATAGGCATTCAAATTGTGATATTTCAGCAAGCTTTGACTATTGGATTCGTGAGAAGCCAGGTTTTAAAAGAGATGTTCTTGAGAAATGTAAGCTTTCACATTAATTATACCTAAGTTAGCAAATTTCTCAAGCATTTATAAAGGCACATAAAGTAAAACAACATAATGAAGTAATAAGAACAAAGGCAGAGGAAACGCGTTCCAGTGTCATACCTGGAGAATTCACCGTGAGCGAGAGGAAAACACAAAACACGGCAATCAACATTTTAGACATAACCACGTAAATACCAGCGGTCGTCTAAATGCTCGTTGCTGGCTAACATTTCCAAAGATATTTTTAAGGTGGAAAAACATTTCTAACAGGTATGAACAATAGCTTCAAAAGCTAGAGAGAACTGTATTTGAGTTTTAAAAGTTAATAGTGTATCGCTTTAACAGATCATTTGGACATTTTCCCTTTGTTTAACTGCTTTCCCTGTTACTCTGCCTGCCTAAGAAACCTAGCGAAATAGTGTTGTGGTCTAAGTGTGAATGGTTCTGTGAAAAGCGCGCATTAACTCAACAATGAGACGATTAAGAAAGAAAGAAAAACAAAACAAAACAAAACAAAACCTGCACAAAAACCGTTGAGGAAAAAAAAAACCCTTCAGGCCCGGGATGAAAAGATTTGAATTGGGGGTAAGATGGCGTAGTTATATCTTTTTTTTTTTTTTTTTTAAATCTCTCAGACCCCTTAATGTCTGTCTCGCGTGTTCCCTGGGGAGAGCTCTGAGGCCCCGGTAAGGAGTTATTGGGAAATACAGTTTCCTCACCAGGATAAACTCGGGATCGCGAGTTGAGGTTGGCTTTCTTAGAGCCAGCGCAGGTGTCAAATGCCAGCCGAGGTGGCCACATTGTCCTCCTGGCCGTCTCCTTCCTCAACAATGACTTTGCTGTCCCGGAGCAGAGAAGCCCTGGGCCCCAGCCGCTCGGGCCAGGGACCTCGTGGGGCCCAGGGGCCTCGGTTCCTACTTTCTAGGTGGCGGCCGGCTCTCCTAAGCGCCCGGGACGCACTAGCAGCCGGGGACTCTGCAGTTTGCGACCTTTCTCTCTGGCTAAGCTCGTCCAGCCAGGGTGAAGGCGTCCAGGCGCACCACCCAGTGACTTCCTCCCCCGCACACCTTTCTTTTCTTTCTGACTTACAGGGGAACAAGAAGGATGGAGGCGGGGGGGGGGGGGGGGGTAGAGTGGGCAAAAGAGAGTGCCTGGTACTCTGCAACCGGCTGTGCAGTGACCTGGGAGCTGCTAGCAATTTCTTGAAAAATTACTTTAATAAAGTCGGAAGCTCCAGGAGGCCCAGGGGAGGGAAGGCGGCACCAGCTTGTGAAAGGGACAAAAACCTCAGGGTGTGTCCTGGGTCCTCACCCCTGCTAGAGTCTGGACTCCCCTCCTTTTCCTCCCCACCAGCTCAGGGGAGCGAAGAAGACCCAGGCCCTAAGACCTCCGACAGGCTCTGTGCCTGCGGGGCCCTGCGGGTATTGGCTTCCCGGAGCGGCAGAGGGACCTGGGGGGCGCGCCCTGCGGCGCAGTGCGTGTGCCGTGCCAGCGCCCCGCGAGCACCCCCTCCTGCGTTTTGATTTCCTTTCCTTTCTAAGCCGAGTTTACAACTTCACCAATGAATAACCCGCCTCTCTTTTCAACCTAATCACGCTCTTTGTGTACTTTCTGTTGATGATTTATAGGAATAAATTAATAACACCCCAACTCCACGTGCTGCAGTTTATGTTACACCTCCTCTGTCCATCATAGCGTGGGGACCACACTAGAGAGGCGCACTAGGCCTCCAAGGCTTCCCTAGGTCGGCTCCGAGGCAAACTAGACGGCGTGGCCCAGGGCAGTCGGGAGTAAGGGCCTAGGCCCCAGGGGGGTGACGATGGGATACTTGGGTAGCTGAGCCAGGCTCAGGACGACCTCCCTGGCACCCTACCGCCCCAGATGCTCGGAGGGGCTCGGCTCCCTAGGCTGTACCGTCTACACCTGATACCACCCAGGCCCCTAAACCCGACTGGAGAGAAATCACCGCCACAGGGACAAACAGCAAGGGAAGAAATCCAAGCTTGTGAATTAAAGCAAAACAAATAAATAAAACCAGGGAATTAAAAAAAATAAAACAAAACAAAATCCTCCAGATTGCCTTGGCTAGAGGGCAAGCGGCCGGGTCCCCAAAGCGCAAATTCAAATGCAAGGTCATATCCCACCTCAACCCTGCGCTGCGGGAGAGGGAGCCGAGGTGGGGAGGCCCGGCATTCACTCCGGACTCTGAAACTTTGAAGCCGCAGGGCTTGAGAGTCAGAGGCCACGCGCGAGGGGCTCCTTCCAAAAGCCAAGTGGCTCCGGAGCGACGTGTGGTTTAAGAGAATCACTTGGCTCCTTGGATAATTAGTAACTAGCTGTCAAAGTGTAGGCCAGGGAGAGAGGACCGGCAAGTGATCCCAGCCACCGGATAGACCGCCAGCCCGTCCCCGGGTTCCCCCAGGATCGCCGGGGTGTCTCTAGTGAGATGCGTACACGCCCACCTTTCCACATTGGGACCAGGTGCTCTACAAAGTGGGGCAGGGGTGTCTTAGGAGCACGTACTCCACCTAGTCTCTCTTCCTTTCATTCCTGGTTTCTTTTGCCCGGCACGGGTCCATCGTGACCCTACAGCAAACTTTCTGCTTTACAAATCAGAAACCAGGACCCAAAGAACTTGCCTCCCAGGCCTCAGCCACCATTGCTGCCAGACCCTCTCTGCAAAGAGCTGCAGGCCTCTGGAAGAAATGGCGTGGTTTGAGGTTTTGGAAGTGGTTCAAGTCTGAGGTCCTAGGAGAATCAGTTGTTTCCCTGCATCCACCTGCACCCCTGTGATCTAAGGATCCGCACCCTCAGTTCTCGCGCCTGGGTATCACAACAAGGTCCTTGAGTCCAGGGCGCCCGCCTAGGTGGAGGCAAATGAAGCCTCGGTTTCCAGGTTACCCGGTTGAGGGACTGGTTCAATTGTTAACAGGGAAGCGGAGCGCCCCGGGGGCATTTTTCCCTTAGGAAAGGGGCTTGCGGGAAAACAGTCAGAACCACAATCTTCCAGCGCGGGGCCAGGGACTGACTCCAGGGACCCGCGGGGTTGGGGGTGGTCCAGTGAGTATCCAGCACCTTTCTTGCAGCCTACCTGAGCATCCGGTCCACCTCGGCCCGCTGCTCCGCGGCCTCTTCGGTGTTGAGTGCCTGTAGCTCCTTGAGGATGGGAGGGGTGTCATAGTCGTCTCCGTCCTCCGAACCCTCGTCCCCAGACAAGCGACCCTTGGCGTGGCCATTGGTGAGAGTATGGAAAACCGGCTTGGTGTCGAGATCCGTCCCGCTCCCTGGGGACAGGGGCAGCGTCTCCAGTTTCACCCCAAAGTTCGGGGACGGCAGTAACTCCTCTAAGGCCTGGATCAGCACTTCCTTGGTGACTCCAGAGCTCAGCAGGGCGCTCAGGAGTTCTTGCTGGAGCGAAGTGAGCTTGGACACCATTTTCCAAGTACGAAAAAGAAGGGGGTGAGGGGATGGGTAGGTGTGAGAGAGGAGGGTGGAGGGGAGTTTTACAAGAGAACCCCAAGTCCTGGAACCCCTCCACCCTTTAGACTCCAGACACCTGTTACTCCCCCGGGTCCCGGAGTCTCCTCCGAGAGGAGTCAGAAAACTTCTAACTTGCCATGATCGCCACCATTAGGCCATATAAGATATGCAAATGAGTGGGAAGGGCTCGGCTTTCGGCAAGATGCAAATGGTGGTGGGGAGGGGGGAAAACCGAAAGAGTGGGAGAGCCGAAGGGACAGTCCAACGGAGCCGGAGACTCGGGCCGGGATCGGGACTTGCCAGAGCCCATTGTACCTCACCCTTGGGGGGGCTCCAAATCTTCTCTACCGGGTCTGTTTATCAGCCAAACTTTAGCTGACCTTTGGACTTGTTAAGCAAGTGGCTTGCCGCCTAGGCTGGGTGGGGGTGGGGGTGGGCTTTTCCACTGGCGGCCGGTTCAACTTTAGTCCAGAAAGAAGAAACTGCGCTTCGGGGGTTCAGGTGAGAGAGCTGGAGAAAGATGGGGTGCCGGGGAAGAGGGAAGTTGGGGGGGGCGGCGAGGGGAGGATGAGGAGAGCAGAGAGTCTCCAAGGTGTCCGCAGGTAGCAAACCTGGAAATGCAGCAGGGGGGTGGAGAGTCCGATCCTTTGGGAATGAGCGCCAGGAAGAAGACAGTAGCTCTAGGCACGGTTAGAACGAATTGGAGTGACTCTGTTCATTTTTACCGCGGTTACTGCTCTCCAGGCCCTTCTCAGCCAGGCCGCGGGTAGCTTGGATTTGCAGACCGCATAGTTAGGGTGCTAGAGGCCTTTAGGACCCTTGAAAGGAGGCGCCCGGCAGACTAATTTATGGCCGGAGGGAGTAGCGAAAGTGGAGCTTCGCTCCTTCACGGCTGCACTAGCCCCTCCAAGCCAGAGGGGAGCAGGACACCTGGGGCGCTCTCTCCAGACTATAAACCGGGAACATAAATGCGCCTGGGCTTTGCAGGCCAAACTAGGGCTGCAGGGACCCTACGGAAGGCTTAGCTTGGCCTGTGGCTGGAGCGGCTGTTGCAGCTCCGGGTTACCCACTTTTTCTGCTTCTTAGATCTAGAACGTCTGCGGTAGCATCGGTGCCGGGGAGTTAGAGACGCGCTCTAGTAAACTCAAGTTAACTGTGGCGGCGGTCTTGCGTGCCACCTAAAGCAGGCACCCCCAAAGCCATTGAAGAAACTTTTTTTTTGTTCCTCACCCAGGTCTGGCCCGGAAGGAAGCCATGAGCCTTTCGGCACGGCAGGAGTTTCTGCCACATCTCCCCCGGGACCCGGGGAGGAAGGAAGGAGGCGCAGGCCGCACCCAGACCTCCAGGCTGGGACCTGGCCTGCTGGGGAAGAGACTGCTCAGATCCACGCACAGTGGTAGCTCCCGGGGCAGAGGCCATTTTGAACCTCGGTTCCCTCATTTGTGAAATATACTCCTTAATAGCCAGGATGCAGGGAAGGTGTAAACACTGAGGAGGACCACCTGTACAAAGCTGGCTAACACTTGTGTTCTTTTCAGTCCGTGAAGATGGGAGGCCAGTTCCCAGTGGTAAAATCTAGCCCCGTGGAAGCTTAGGTTTCTCAGAACCAGGGACAGTGAGTTTGAAAGAACTGGACAAAGAAGGACAAAAAAATAATAATAATTCAGGAGAGCAAAAGAACTTCTAAGCACATTCTCTTAACTGCTTGCACTTTCAAACACAACAGATTAGGAGGAAATCGTGGTTGGGTCAGAGGTAGAGATGAATAGTCACAAGGGAGGCCCGCAGCCCTCATCTGCTACGCACAGGGTCAGACCTCCTGGTGAGCGGACTCCTGGTGATTCTGAGTCAGGCTGCAAGAGTGAAGTCTCTGTGAAAGGCAGAGCCGCAGCCGGTACCGGATCACCTGTGCTCAGAGTCTGGGAGAAGGAAGGGGTGGGTGCATGCATGGGATCCCACCCAAGGATAAACACCTATCACTGTTTATCTGAGAAAGGGGTTATAAGTTCACAGAAGGGGGGGTATTCATTTCACCTTCTTGCTTTCTCGTTTGTTGTGACATGTGACAGATCCTTGCCTCTTGTGATTCTGCCCAGTAGAACTCTCTCTGCCTTCCAGCTCCACTCGGGCAGAATAATGAAGTGTTCAGAGTAAATGTCTCTGACTGAAAGCCTTGTTTCCCCTGTCCCTTTCTCGATATCATAAGTATAATGGGCGTCAGTTTCTGTCTTAAGCCAGGAAAACCCATTAAAAAGGCCACCATCGCCATCACTGTCCACTAATCAACACAGCTTTGATTTGCAGTTCTAGGTGGTGTGTGCCACCAGACTCCCAAACCTCCCACCCTCGAAACTCAGGGGTTACACGTTCTTACCACCACCCTGCCACACACACACACACACACACACACACACACACACACACACTAGCTACCCATGTGAATATGCAGAAAGCTGTACCTAGAGTGCAGGAACAGTTCCCGTGTGTGCAGGTAGGTCTCCCAGGTAACCTGGCTATTCATACCCTGAAATTATCCTACCCAGAACTACAGTTTACTTACTACTCCAGGCAATCAATAGAGGTGAATATCAAGTAATTGCAATTACAGATGTGTGAGCAGATTTTATAGCCATGAACATGTATTGATTATTTTATTTTTATGTGAAGGAGTGTTTTGCTTGCATGTATGTGTGTATGTGCACCATGTATGTGTCTGATGTGATGGATCCCCTGGAACTGGAATTACAGACAGTTCTGAGCTGACATGTTGAACCCAGATCCTCTGTAAGGGTAACAAGTGCCCTTAACCACTGAGCCACCTCTCCAGCCCTGTCGTGGAAATTTAAAAAGAAAAATACAAGTAGAACCGAATGACTAAATAAGCCATCTCATGAAAGTTTTACTCTACAGTAAAACTTCTCCCTAAGAGAGAGAAGGAGAAGGCTCTCTAGCCTTCGTTGCTTTCAGAGATGACAAGGTGAAGCGAGGGTAGGGGGTGGGGTCCTGCAGGAGGGAGCTGGAGGATCTCCATAGGGATGGAGGACAGGCTTTGGAGTCACAGGCTGTGAGTACATCGTGATGAAGATGCAGCATTGGGATTTATTTGTGAGTCCTATGATATGAGATTTCCTTAGAGGCCTTAAGTTCCTGAGACGTCCACTTCCAGATCTTTAGGCAGGTGGTCAAAGATCCGAGGCCAGTCCTCTGTATAGTGGGAGACTTGGGATTTTTCAGTGGCCCATGAGAAGCTGCATCACAGAGAATTAGCTGCAGAGGGACAGGGCCTTCTGGCCTCCTCCTCACTGTAGTCTGGAGAGCTGCTGAGATTCGCAGTTGCTCAGTAAGATATCTGTGGAGAGAATAAACGAGGGCACCTCTGAAGGTACCATGAAGAATGATTGTGGCCAATTGTGAAATTTTCCAGGCCATCAGCAATGAAATTGTGGACTAAAAATAATAACATTCTTAGGCACAGACAGATATGTGCTATGCGGTCCATTTGTATTCTATTAACTAGGAAAGCAAACCCATAGTGGTGTAGGTTACTGGTGTAATAGGAAGGCTCTATGTTTGTTTGTTTGTTTTATGTTTGCTTATTATTTTAAATGATAATTCATTTTTATTGTTTTATATTTAAAATTAACTTATTATTTTATGTCTATGATTGTTTTTGCTTGCATGTATGTCTGTGTACCATATGTGTGCCTGGTACCCATGGAGGCCAGAACAGGCATCAATCCCCTGGATCTGGAGTTACAAATGAATGTGAGCTGTCATGTGAGTGCTGGGAATAGAGCCGGGAACCTGGGTCCTCTGGAAGAACAGCCAGTGCTTTTAACCACTGAGCCATCTCTCCGTGTTTATTTATTTTTAATGTGTATGGGTGTGCCTGAATGTCTGTGCACCATGTGCATGCAGAGTCTAAGGAGGCCAGAAGAGGGCATCTGATATCGGAGCTGAAGTTACAGGTGGTTGTGAACTCCCATGTGGGTGCCAGAACTGAATCCAGGTCCTCTTCGAGAGCAGCGGGTGCTCTTAAAAACTAAACCATCTTTCCAGTTCCCAATAAAAAAAGGCTTATTTTATTTTATTTTATGTGTAAAAGTGTTTTAATGGCATGTGTGTCTATGCACCATGTGTGTCCTTGGTACCTACAGAGCCAGAAGTAGGCAGCAGATCCAGGAGTTAACAAACAGTTGTGAGCCACCGTAAGTGTGTTCAGAGTCAAGCTGGGTCTCCTGCAAGAGCAACAAGTGCTTTTAACTGCTGAGGCATCTCTGTTTTTGGCCTGGAACTCACTGTAAAGGCCAGGCTGGCCTTGAACTCTTACGGATCCACCTGACTCTGTTTCCCTCATGCTGCCATTAAAGGTGGTCCTATGTTGTGATGAACTCGGGGTGCATCTCTAGAACCTGTGCACATTACTCTGTGTATTTGTGCACATTTCAGGACATAAGTTATAACTTAATTAGAAAAATAAAACCTATTCCAAAGTTGTGTGTGGTGGCACCTCGGAGGTAGAAGCAGGAGCATCAGGAGTTCAAGGCCAGTTTGGGAGAGTTCAAGGCTTGACTGAGCTATATGATTCCCTGTCTCAAACAACAACATAAAAACAATTCCACGAAAAACCAAAAAA